GTAAAATTATCTGCCAGTGGGGTAAGTAAAATACTCTTGTTTTAAGAATATTTTACTTACCCCACTGGCAGATAATTTTACTTGTTTCAAGCAAACAATGCACTTAATTTAGTTTTTTTTCACCCTGGAAACAAGACAAAATATCTTAAGTAATTTGGCTCATCTAGTAAAAGTATCTTGATTTAAGAATTTTAAGATATTTTGAGTAGAAACAAGACAAAAATACTAAGTAAGATAAGCCATTTTTTGCAGTGTTTTAAACCTACCAAACCTCTCATTCCTCCTCCATAGTCTTGAAAATGCCATCAGATGCTTTTATGGTGATGAGTATGCTTTATTTTTTGTGTGTGATGTAGGTAAATGTATGTAAAGGCTGTGTAAATTTGAGCAGGACTGCACCATTTTTAAATTGCAGATGGCCTTTGGTTACTGTGCTTGAGTGAAGAGGCACCGTTCGTGGCCCCTTTTTGCAAAGTGACCGAGTCTGAGCAAAGCATTTCCCGCATATTCATCTCGTCCCTCCAACCCCCCGCCCCTCCTTCTTGTCCGTGTTTGAGGCTTTTCTTCTCCCTCTCTGGAATGAGGTGGCGATCTGTGAATGTTACTTCAACAAAGGCATCTTTTAAGATGGATTTTTCCTTCTCTTTGTTTCTCAAAAAAGGGGGATCTTAGACATTTTTTCCCCCTCTTCTTCAGTTTTCCATGCAGTGGCCGAGAGGCAAATCCTGAGAACTGAGAATAGGGCTAAGACTGTGGACGTTTTCCCATATTGCACCTGCGTGACAGCGTCTCGGTCTCATTCAGGTGCAGTCTGGAGGCCGATCTGGTATGGCACACGTACAAAGGTATTACACAACTATGGAAAGCCATTAAATTCCAAAGCAGGTAATTAAAAACAGTTGCAAACCAGAAATGAGCTTGTTAAAGAGCTTGTGAAGCTTAAGATTTCACGTTCCTGTGGAAATATCTGTAGAAAGTTAAAAATAACAACACTTATTTGCATTAGAAATCTTTTGTAATATTATAAATGTCTTTACTGTCACTTTTGATTAATTGAATGCATCATTGCTGAATAAAAGTATTAATCTCTTTTAAAAAATCTTATCAACCCCAAACTTTTAAACCGTAGTGCATACTGTTTGCTACTCTAAAAATAGTATGCAAAACTGTATGCATCAAGTCAGTAATTTTTAATTTACATTAGTGTAAAAATAAAATTCTGACATTATTTACTTACTGTCATGTCCAAAACTGTATGACATACTTCCTTCTGTGGATAACAAATGAAAATATTTTGCAGAATGTTTTGACTGTTTTTGTCCATGTAATGATCTGAAAACTTGGAAAAATTTGGACCCCATTGACTTTTTTCAAAGTATTTCTTTTGTGTTGCACTCAAAGTCGAGTGCCATGCAGTGCGTTGTAGGATAAAATTGTGGGATTTTGCCAAATGTAGTAGGTCAAGGGTACTTAATTCAAAATATGCATACTAAGTACAGCACACCTAGTATATACTGCAGAAATAGTAGTATGCTATTCTGAACAATTCCTAAGAAAAGTGATGTGTTCGCCAGAACTAGGCTTAATGTGTTTGGGGAAGCATGGTTTTGATATATATATATATATATATATAGAGATTTATTTTTGTTTGACCTACTAGTTGTTGCTAAATAGCATTTATTCTTTCAGTGTAGATCATATTATTTGACCTTATTTTTCATTAAATTTGCAAAACTTTGCAATTGAGTTTAAAATGTCAACGTTAGTTAAAGCAATAGGTATCATGAACAAGCAATGAACAGTATTTTACAGAATTTATTAATCTAGAATTGCATTATAATTCAAAAGTTTAGTTCAGTAAGATTTTTGAAAGAAATTAATGCTTTTATCTGGCAAGGATGCATTAAATTGATCAAAACTGATATTAAAGCCTTTTACTTTATTACAAAATATTTATTGAATTGATTAAATTAAAAATATTTTGTTCTTTTGAACTTTCTATTCATCAAAGAATCCTGAAAAAAATTATCTTGTTTTCCAAAAAGTATAGTGTTTTCAACATTGATAATAATAAGAAATGTTTCTTGAGCAGCAAATCAGCGTATTAAAATGATTTCTGGATCATGTGACACTGAAGACTGGAGTAATGATGCTGAAAATTCAGCTTTGATCACAGGAATAAATTACATTTTAAAATATATTCAAATAAAAAGCAGTCATTTTAAATTGTTATAATATTTCACAATATTTCACTGTTTTTCTGTATTTTTAATCAAATAATTGCAGCCTTGGTCAGCATAAGAGACTTCTTTCAAAAACATTTTAAAAATCTTACAGAGCCCAGACTTTTAAAGGGAAGTGTACATTAATTTTTTGCATGTACCTATAAAATTTCAGCTATTCAAGCTGTATAAAGTAATATTAGTCAATATATTATATAAACAAACATGAATTAACAATTAGCAATGATATATTTGTTATAATATGTGCTTGAAGTACGCCCTGAAGTTAATATTTCAATAATTTAACAACAAATTCGCAGGTTGTGGTAAACATAAAATGCAGTAAACAAGTAAAATATTTAATCTATTTTTAAGTAACTAGCTTGTTTTCATTACTTGCTACTGTTTATATGCAAGAAAGCTTGAAAATGTAACTTTACATTGCTTCCTGTAAACTGAAGTAAACCAAGTTGATGGTTTAAAGTGACATGCGTGTCTTGCTGTTGCTTGTTCCAGCCCTGTGAGTCGACTCAGCTGGAGTTCATGTCTCAGCAGTGCTCAGCCACAGACCAGCAGCCTCTGTCGGTGTCTCCAGACTCCAGCTCAGTCTACACCTGGATCCCTGCTGTCGGCCACAGCTCAGGTGCACCCATAAACATCTTCCTGTTCAATTTGTCTTTTGTTGTGTTCTCTGTTCTTTACGTCTCTCTCTCCCTTCCAGGTGATGCTCAGTGTAAACTGTTGTGTCGCTCACGTGAGCAGGACTTCATGGTGAGTCGTGGGTCTCAGTTCATCGATGGGACGCGGTGTGAAGCTGGTCATACTGTACCACGTGGTTTCATTTCTGCCTGTCTGGGTAGAAAGTGCCAGGTAAGTGCCAACTAAGTTTACTTCTTATTTAGTACACAGCTTTTTTTTGGGATTTGTGAGTTGTGACATTTGGAGGTCTGTTATTCACCATTAACCACTGTGTTAATAATCAATAACAACACTGAATAACAGACCGCTCATCCGGGAACTTGAGGCCGGTGCTTCTTTCACGTCTCTCGTATCACACCGCTTACCTATGCATGGAAGTTTGTTTCTGCCACTATATAAAAAAAACGATACAAAAAAACTATATAACTAAATAATGCAATTGCGAGTTTGTCTCACAATTCTGACTTTTTTCTGAATTCTGAGTTTACATCTTACAATTTAGAATTTATTTATCTGAATTCTGAGTTTACATCTTACAATTTAGAATTTATTTATCTGAATTCTGAGTTTACATCTTACAATTTAGAATTTATTTATCTGAATTCTGAGTTTACATCTTACAATTTAGAATTTATTTATCTGAATTCTGAGTTTACATCTTACAATTTAGAATTTATTTATCTGAATTCTGAGTTTACATCTTACAATTTAGAATTTATTTATCTGAATTCTGAGTTTACATCTTACAATTTAGAATTTATTTATCTGAATTCTGAGTTTACATCTTACAATTTAGAATTTATTTATCTGAATTCTGAGTTTACATCTTACAATTTAGAATTTATTTATCTGAATTCTGAGTTTACATCTTGCAATTCTGACTTTTTTTCTCAGAATTCCTTTTTTTGTTTCCGCCATCGGATAAAAAAATCAAAAAGGTAATTGCAACTTTTTTTCTGTAAAGGCCCGTTCACACCAAGGACGATAACTATAAAGATAACGATAAAGATATAGTTCTAAAAATCGTTCTCAATATTAAAGAATAGCAAAGTCCACACCACAGCTATAACGATAAAGGCACAGAGAAACGATATCGTTGGAATCTCTTTCAGACCGATATTTGCCTTCTGTAAAATGAAATAAAAGCAGGTTAACTGATGGTTTAAAGTGACATGCGTGTCTTGTTGTTGTTTGTTCCAGTCCTGTGAGTCGACTCAGCTGGAGTTCATGTCTCAGCAGTGCTCAGCCACAGACCAGCAGCCTCTGTCGGTGTCTCCAGACTCCAGCTCAGTCTACACCTGGATCCCTGCTGTCGGCCACAGCTCAGGTGCACCCATAAACATCTTCCTGTTCAATTTGTCTTTTGTTGTGTTCTCTGTTCTTTACGTCTCTCTCTCCCTTCCAGGTGATGCTCAGTGTAAACTGATGTGTCGCTCACGTGAGCAGGACTTCATGGTGAGTCGTGGGTCTCAGTTCATCGATGGGACGCGGTGTGAAGCTGGTCATACTGTACCACGTGGTTTCATTTCTGCCTGTCTGGGTAGAAAGTGCCAGGTAAGTGCCAACTAAGTTTACTTCTTATTTAGTACACAGCTTTTTTTTGGGATTTGTGAGTTGTGACATTTGGAGGTCTGTTATTCACCATTAACCACTGTGTTAATAATCAATAACAACACTGAATAACAGACCGCTTATCCGGGAACTTGAGGCCGGTGCTTCTTTCACGTCTCTCGTATCACACCGCTTACCTATGCATGGAAGTTTGTTTCTTCCACTATATAAAAAAAACGATACAAAAAACTATATAACTAAATAATGCAATTGCGAGTTTGTCCCGCAATTCTGACTTTTTTCTGAATTCTGAGTTTACATCTTACAATTTAGAATTTATTTATCTGAATTCTGAGTTTACATCTTACAATTTAGAATTTATTTATCTGAATTCTGAGTTTACATCTTACAATTTAGAATTTATTTATCTGAATTCTGAGTTTACATCTTACAATTTAGAATTTATTTATCTGAATTCTGAGTTTACATCTTACAATTTAGAATTTATTTATCTGAATTCTGAGTTTACATCTTACAATTTAGAATTTATTTATCTGAATTCTGAGTTTACATCTTACAATTTAGAATTTATTTATCTGAATTCTGAGTTTACATCTTACAATTTAGAATTTATTTATCTGAATTCTGAGTTTACATCTTACAATTTAGAATTTATTTATCTGAATTCTGAGTTTACATCTTACAATTTAGAATTTATTTATCTGAATTCTGAGTTTACATCTTACAATTTAGAATTTATTTATCTGAATTCTGAGTTTACATCTTACAATTTAGAATTTATTTATCTGAATTCTGAGTTTACATCTTACAATTTAGAATTTATTTATCTGAATTCTGAGTTTACATCTTACAATTTAGAATTTATTTATCTGAATTCTGAGTTTACATCTTACAATTTAGAATTTATTTATCTGAATTCTGAGTTTACATCTTACAATTTAGAATTTATTTATCTGAATTCTGAGTTTACATCTTACAATTTAGAATTTATTTATCTGAATTCTGAGTTTACATCTTACAATTTAGAATTTATTTATCTGAATTCTGAGTTTACATCTTACAATTTAGAATTTATTTATCTGAATTCTGAGTTTACATCTTACAATTTAGAATTTATTTATCTGAATTCTGAGTTTACATCTTACAATTTAGAATTTATTTATCTGAATTCTGAGTTTACATCTTGCAATTCTGACTTTTTTTCTCAGAATTCCTTTTTTTGTTTCCGCCATCGGATAAAAAAATCAAAAAGGTAATTGCAACTTTTTTTCTGTAAAGGCCCGTTCACACCAAGGACGATAACTATAAAGATAACGATAAAGATAT